TGAGTATTTATACTATTCATACTGAGCTGCCAATGCTTGGTCCTTGACAACCTTTGGAGATGTAAGAACAGACTTGGCAATAAACTTCAAATTAGGGCCTTTAGTAAGTTTTCTCACAGGCCAAAGGAAAGGCTTTTCGAAGTTGAAATTGCTTTTAGTTCATATGTCATAGTACTTGAGAGAAATTATTATTAATAACCAATGATTTGGGGAGATCCAGAGTTCTCCCCTTTCCTAAAGTTCTCATTTCAAAAGTTCAGTCTCTTAAAGGACATTACTGATAATGAGATTGGATTAACATTCTTAATAATCTTGTTCAGACCCCATCCAGGTGGAGAAGCTATTGTGCTCCATTCAGGTTTGAGTGGGGATAAATTCTTCAAATAGATTGCTCAAGGCTGGGGGTGGTCTGGGTATAAGAATAGTTTCTTTGTCCAAGAGTGAGGTGATATCACTCTCAGCCTCTCACTGTAGTATTCATTCTCTCATTAATTGTTAACCAATCAGAGTTGATTGCCACCCTCAGGAGCACCCCTTTTCCAAGAGCATATAAGCCATGAACCCACTGCTACGATGACCTTTGGCATTTGAGAGTGCATGGTCATTTTATTAAAATGCCAGCATTTTAATAAAATGACTAATTACACAGAAATTATGTCTCAAACTTTTTACATGCCATTTCCTGGAGATTTTTCCTCCTATTAACAGCAATGAAATTCACCATGATTTTTCTTTTTGTTGTTGCCAAATAGCACCCTAGGGATATTTTCACACTTTTGTACCAAGACCCTATACCAGTCAGGTACATTCTTGTGTCAGGATCCCCATGCCAAGACCACCCCTCTCTTTTTCCTCCTCTTTTTTTTTTTAACTAGTAGGAGATACCATGTTTTCCAGAGCTGAGACGCAGCAAGCAAGCTGTGCCCTGAGCTTGGCATAACAACAATCCTTTGTGGGCACCCTCTGGAAGATCTCAGCCACAGCAAAATCCCAGAATTGTTTCACACCAGCATCAGGTGGTCCCTGAGCTTTGACAAACACCTGTGGTAATTGTATTCTGGTCATGAAGTCTGGCTATAAATAAAACTTGTCTGATTGTTGCTGTTACCCCTGCATTGACAAGGCTACAGCTCACTATGTAACTATTGGTAAAAGTATTGAGATTTGCCCACGCTAAAGTTGGTCTCCTGCTAGAGGGGACCCCAGTACGTGTGTCTAGTTTCCTTCCTCCAATGAAATAAAGAAAGTGTTTTGATTGCAACCACTGTTAGCTCTTTGGTTTTATTTTATTTTTAGAGTTCCCTGCAGTTTTGTTGTTGTTGTTGTTGTTTTTTTGGTGAAGCAATTAAGGTTAAGTGACTTGCCCAGGGTCACACAGCTAGTAAGTGTCAAGTATCTGGGCCACATTTGAACTCAAGTCCTCCTAACCCCAAGGCCAGAGCTCTATCCACTGCACCACCTAGCTGCCCCAAGAGTTGCCTGCAGTTTCGATAACTTGTGTTAACTCTCTAGGTTTTTTTGTTTGTTTGTTTGTTTTTCTTTTTGTTTTTTAAAGTTAACAGAAGTTGTGAAGCTGCTGTGGCTCTTTGGGCATTTGTTAACAGGTTTGACACTCTTAAGTAACTGTAGATGTTACATCAAACATTATAAAGGTAGAGATACACTTCTGAAATTCACTACTCAAATGACATTTGAAAAGGTAGTTTTTCCAATACCTTTACCCCCAGTTGTTACAAGTTTGAACAGAATTTGGAGTTCTCCTTGGGTGACCATGATGATGGTTCTTTCAGAAGTATCATCAGTACTATTAACTAAACGTCTTGAACATATTATTAATTTGTTGTTTGTAAGCATTTAGAAACGGAGAAGACGACTGCTGAAAACCAGCATGGCTTCAGCAAAAAGAGGTTATGTCAGACTAATCTCATTTACTTTACTTTTTTTTTTTGACTGGGTAAGCAATGTCATAGGTATGGTATATTCAGGCTAGCATACCTTTTTAAAATTTGTTTGTTTTCTTTTTAACTGATGCCTTTTACTTTAACAGCAGTCATGTCATTCCCTGCATCTAGTGAGTCTTTCATTGTAACCTAGATGTAAGAACAGCTAAGCAAAACCAAATGATAGATTGACAACATACGCAACATTCCATATCCCTAGTCCTTCCCAACAAAAGAAAGAAGATGTATTTCCCTGTGTCTTCTCTGTGACAATTTTGTAATCATGTATACAGTTTTGCTGGTTCTACTTAGTTCATTCTGCATCAATTCATACAAGCCTTCCCATTTTTCTCTGAATCCATTAGTCATCATTTTAGTCATGGCCAAAAAAAGCTATAACTCCATAAACATAACCCCAAAAGAAAAAGTAGAGTTTGGTGTCTTTGTTACACCCTGTTACTCAGCATCTGTGGCTCAACAAGCCTGGTTTTTGTTCTCCTACCTGGCCCTCAGGTTGTCTGACTTGCTCAGGCTGGTTCTAGTTACTCTAAGGTTTCTGTAGTATTACCAAGATGAAAACTGTGAGATTGCAAATATCCAGGAACAGCGACAAGGTACAACTACCTTAAACTGATCTAACTATAGGGGTTATTCTATAATATAAAAACTAGCAATGGACATATGCATACAAAAAAGATATAAGATGAGCACTTTGAATGGCCTTCCTGAAATCCAGAAGTTGGTATAGGGGCCAGAAGGAAAGCAGAAGAAAAAAAAAAAGTGATGTTGGACATAGCCAAGAAGCACTTACCCCAGCATTTCCCAAGGCACCTGCTGGTGCCTGGTCACCTGGCTAAGTGACATGTCCCTGAGACAAGTTAGTTGGGAATGTGGCTCATGATAACCCCCGATCAAAGCTGGTCACTTATGACTAGATTAATGTTATCTCTGAATTAGGTTCCTGGGCCCTGTAAATTTATTTTTTATGATACTTTCTTTACCTTAAATGCAACCAAAGACCTCAAATGAAAGTATATGTGAAGAGTATTTTGGAAACCTTACAATATTACATAAATGTAAGCTACACAATCTATAAAATTCTTTGAGGGAGAAAAAAAGTACAGCTTGTACGGGGTTCACTAATGGGAAATCTGTCACCAAGGCCAAATATGGATTAGCGGCAATGGAAGAGAAGGAATAAAGGTCACCATTTCTCCTATTCTTAGCCCCCCAAAGGCTAGGAATACTAATCAGACATCTTTTTTAAGTCAGTAGAATTAAGAAGTCCCAGCAAAATAGATAATTTGAATTTGAAGAAGATAGATTTAAATTTCCATCAAGGGTGTCACATAGCTAACTGTTGTTCCTCTAAAGGGACAGGGAAGAAAAGGCTGGAATTGTGGTCCTTCTCTCCCTTTCCCCCAATGCCTTCCATTTAGGGATACCTAGATTTACATTGTATGTGTTATGTATGTACAGTTGTAGCGCGTTGTTTTTTCCATTCGAATGTGAGCTCTTTGAGGGGAGGAACTTTTGTTTTTGCCTTTCTTTGTATCTTCAGAGTTCAGCATAACCCATTTTCCTCCCATCCCAGTTTTTAACTTCTGGGGGTTCAAAACTATGTCTCAGCTGCTGTCTTATTCTGGAACTTCCTCCTAGGCTTAGGACCACCTTGCCCTGGAACACCCAATCACCTGTATACTGTTCTTAACCTGAAACGTCCCTTCGCAATATCTGTTCCATTTTCTCATTGATGCATCCCTCCTGGGGCCTCCATTTTGTAGAGGGGCCCAAATCTGCCAACCCTTTTTCTGCTGTGCCCAATTACTGACTCTGCTGCAGACTTCTTTCCTCATCCTCTTTTCTGCTTCCTTTTGTGAGTCGTTAGAATTCACGCTTCTACAAGCCAGAGCCTATCTTTATAGTTTTTATTTGTATCCACAGGGCTTAGCACAGTGCCTGAAATATAATAAGTGCTTAATAATTGCTTGTTTTCTTCTTCCTTGTTACATAGTCTGAAGGAAATTATGATGTTCATATTAATCGATATGATATGCATAATGAATATACTAAGAATTTATATTTCTCAGGAGACTCTGGATCGGGAGTCAGAGACTTACAATGCAAATTGAAATGATCAGTCAAACCCCTGACAACACTCTCACAATCATTACATTTCCGTGCCTGCGTACATTAAGTGAAGGGAATTGTAGAACCTGTTCCTGTCACAGAACTCTGGTCCTGCATCCCACCAAGTAAGGACCCCTAAGGACTTGAAACAATACTGTTCCCACAGAACACCTGTATTGTGGACTCCTTGTCCACCTTCCTCCTGCTTCCGAACTTGTGATTTGTGTATATAAGCTGTGTCTTTACTCCAGCACAGAAAGTAATTAATTAAGCAGCCACTTGGTCCCTGGCACCCCTGTCTCCGGCCTGCTCTGTCTCCTCATTCCTAGGTTAGACACTGGCTCAGTAAAATTCTGTTAACAATAGTAAGTGCTGGATAAATGTGCATTGATTGACTGCTTGAGGAAATACAGTCCAGGAAAATGAAGAACCCGGCTTAAGGAGGATGATACAGGCATCCCCTGTGTCCATAAAGGACAACACAGGACACAGCCTCAGCTGGAGAGGGAAGCGCAGGTGGTGGGATGCGGGAGATTCTGTGGGGAAGGGAGGGGAGCAGCCTAGGGGCGGGGTGGGGATGGGGGAGTGTAGGAGATGCAAGGAGGATGGGGTCACCATCCTCCACTGACGGGTGCCAGGGCATACGTCCCTGATGGGGACGGACAGAGAAGCGGCTGGGATCCACAGGGTGTAGGAGACTGTGACGGAAGTGTGGAGGACAGCGAGGGAGGAAAGTGTGGGCGAGAGGGAGAGGGCAGGACGGAGGCGAGGTCAGCCCTCGTGCCCCGCCCCCTTCGAATTTCTCTTCACCCGCTTCTGCTGCAGTGCTTCCCGCCACGCACAGAAACTCCATTTCCCACACGTCTCCAGGGCACCAGGGCAGGCGCAGATACACCCTCACGCGCCTCAGTAGGCGTGTCGACTCCGGAGCGCAGGCGCACATCGGCCTTAGAGACGAATTGGGAAGCTGAGTGCAATCAGGAGCCGGCGCTATGGCGGAGACAGATCCCAAAACTGTACAGGACCTGACCGCTGTGGTGGGACCCAGGGCCGGGGGGTGGAGCGAGGGGCGGCGGGTGGGGGGAAAGATCGCTTCGGAGGTCCCGGGATAGCCGGCGCGCTGCCGGAGGCAAAGGTCGCGCCCACCCTTTCGCAGCTCGGCGGCCTCCGCCCAGTCACCGCCCAACGCTGGAGCCGCGGCTCCCCCTCAGTCTCCTCCGCCCTCGGCACTTCCCTTGGGGGCAGCTGCTTGGCAGGGGTAGTCACCCCAGCCGACCCCTTCCACGTCCGCGCCCCGTTTTCCCCAGCCCCTGGGCGGGAGACCCCTGAGTCCACCCTTGAACGGCACTTGGGAGCGTTGAGTCTGGGTCCTCCTGTCCCTGTAGGGGGTCCGGAGGCGGGGGGCGGGCTGGGGTGGGAACAGATCCCAGCTTTTACCCTGGGTGACTCCACAGAGTGTACTCGCAGACCCGAGAGGACCCAGGCCCTCGATCCCATTTTTAGACTCCACCCTTTCTCCCCATCTTCCCCCTTACCCAACAAAGCAGAGATGCTTCCCAGCTAACCCTGCCCCCCATCCTGCCCCTTACTCAACAAAGCAGAGATGCTTCCCAGCTAACCCTGCCCCCCATCCTCCCCCTTACCCAACAAAGCAGAGATGCTTCCCAGCTAACCCTGCCCCCATCCTCCCCCTTACCTAACAGCCCAGAGATGCTTCCCAGCTAACCCTACCCCCATCATCCCCTTTACCTAACAGCCCAAAGATACTTCCCAGCAAACCTCTTCCCCACCACTAATCACGATCTCTTTCTTTCGTCCTTTCTGCAGGTTCAGACACTTCTTCAGCAGATGCAGGACAAGTTTCAGACCATGTCAGACCAGATAATTGGCCGAAATATCCTTTCTCTTTAGAGTTGCTTTCTTCTTGCTGCTCCTTTTCATATTTTTAGGCTTTCTCTCCTACACAGTGTAGGATGATGGTACAGTGGGTTTAAGAGGTTACTCATTTATTTAACCAGTTCAACTAGGATTGGTCCTCTGACCTGAGCTCTGCTGAGCTGGAGACTAGTCTTGTTAGAGGCCACTTGTATGTATGTGAAGGGACTGGGAGGTACATAAATGATGGAAAAATTCTGAAGTGACTAGCTTGTTGGCCTTTTTCTTTTACGAAGGCCAGGGTATACCCCTGCTCAGGTCATCCCCAGGCCTGGACCCAGGAACATCTCTTAGCCCAGTACCTGTAAATATGTATGTGGCTACTGCCAACACCAGCTTTTACATCTTGTAAAGACCAGTCTCTATTAGCTAGTTTAGCTATAGCTGTATACTTATATGTATATGACCACATACATATATACTCATGTGTATGTTTGTGGGTGTGTTTGTATCTATAAGATAATCAAGGTCGAGGCATTGAGGTGGAGTGGATATAGGACTGCTCGAAGTTAGGAACACCTGCAAGTCTTGCTTCTGATGGCTGTGTGACTATGGGCAAGTCATTTAACCTTTCTGTGCCTCAGGCAACTCTCTGAAATTCTTGATCTTCATTGGAGATAGTTTTCACACCATTGGAATCATAGGCTCTGAAGCAAAAAAAAAAATACGAGAAAGGAAACAAGAATGCACAGTTTGGGATGGAAAAACAGGTATATCTCATGAATATCATTTGTAGGTCAGTCCCTTCCTGCTCCTTTGGGAAAGTCAGGTTAAGCCATAGCCTGCTCATATCAGCCTAAATTTGGTTGCTAGTTTGACTTGCTAGAGGCCATATACTTTAATATGTGAGTAGAGCAGAAGATAGGATAAGTCATGGAGTAACTTTACTAAGTGTTGTCTTTAACAAGTCGTACTTGATGATATGAGCAGTCGCATCGATGATCTGGAGAAAAACATTGCTGACCTTATGACCCAAGCAGGGGTAGAAGAAATAGAAGGGGAAAACAAAGTACCTGCTACACGTAATAGTTAAAGGTAGGAGTCAGATTCATTGTTTGCCTATTTGATAAAATTTTGAAATCTTTTAACTGTTCCTTTTTCCCCCTTATTTGATTTTTATAGATTCTTGGTATTAATTTCTTTCACTGAAGAAATTCAGATATCAGAAATTCTAGCAATCAAAACATTTATAAATCATACCTTGAAAGAACAATGGTTACAGTTAATTATGCACAATATTTTGCTTCAAGTCACAGGGTACTTAATTGTAAGACTTATCCCCTATGCTTTGTTTCTCCAGTTACCCTTGTTTAGGCTACAAACTTTGCAGCCCAGAAGGTAATTGATAGTTTTTAACTGCTTTTTGGCATTTTAATCTTCCTGGTTAAGTGAAATTTACTGACAGTGATAGAATCACCAAAAACAAAAAGAATATTAAAGCATGCCATTATGCTGTCTACTTTGTGCCAAACTTAGTGATTGTAGAAGACAAAGTAACAGAAATAATCAGTGAAATAGTCATGGAAGGCAAGTGGTTCTTTAAGTTATTTTCATCTAAAACATGGGTTCTTTGTGTTATAATGTCTAAATATCTAATTTGTTAATCTGTCTCATCTTTAGCACGGAATTACTCCTTTCTTACCTAGGGATATTTCAGAAAATGACTTATTCATAAGTTTCTATGAAACTGATTCTAAATTGTTTAAACAAAAGAATTCCCATTAAGTTAATTAGAGCTTTTCCCTTAAGAATTGTGGAGTGGAAGCAAACTTAAAATTACAGCAGCTGAAAAAACCAGAGAACCTTGGTTTAAATCCTGGTTCTACTACTTATTATTTTGTCTCGGGAGAAGTCAACTAATACTAGTAATAATTTACATTTAAATGATAATTTCATGACACAAAGCCTACTGTGTGTCAGGGATTGTGTTAAGTGTTTTACAAATATTATTTCATTCAATCCTCACATCAACTCAGGGATGTAGATGCTATTATTATCCCCATTTTAGAGATGGGGAAACTGTGGCAAACAACAGTTAAATGACTTGCCCACCATCATGCAGCTAGTAAATGTCTTAAGCTGGATTTGATCTCAGATCTTCCTGACTCCCAAGCCTACCCTCTAGCCACTGCACTACCTAGCTACCCTTCCCCCACCCCAACACTTTCTTCACAACAGCTCCATGAAGTAGTTAATATGAGCATCAGTATCCCATTCTACAGAGGAGGAAACTAAGACTCTAGGTCTGAGGTAGAATACATACCTGGTCTCCTGACTATCAAGTCCTGTAGTTTTTGCTGTGTAATTGGACTTCAGTTTCCCACTTTGTAAAATGAGGAGTTTGGACTAAATAGCCTCTAAGGTCCCTTCCAGGTGTATAAAAATCAAATGTGGAGACAGAAGAGGAAAAATAAAGATTCAGATTGTTTTTTAATTTACAGTCACAGCAATTAAATTATTTTTAATCTGTTGTAGAATTCTTTATTCACATTGGGAAGATAGTCTGCTTTAGCAAGTCTGTATATAGATATGTTATGAAAACTTTTCAGTTGATTTTTGTTCTACATTATCACTTGTAGATTCTACAGTGAAAATTTGTCAACAGTATTTCTTTTTTCCCCCCCACAGGTTTTGTTAATCATTTAGAGTGAATTCTGGAAAATGTTTTTTTTTACAAGCCAAGAGGTGAACGAACAGCTTTTCTCAACTAACTACTGTGTGCAAACATTTTTTTATTCTAAAGCTTGTATCCCTAGAATATGCAGTTTAGTTGGGTTTCAAGGTGATTTATTTTTTGATTTCTTGTATGTGGTAGCTTCATAATATATGACAAAATGTGTAAACAGTTAGTAAACTGAAATTCTGACTACTCTTGGCTAAAATTTTAAAAATTTTTGGTGCATTTATTGTCGAGTCATTTGTTGTTCCTTTTGTAGTAGTTTCAGTTTAACAACAAATTGCTGTGAGTTTTTTTAAAGAAATGTATTAATTTTTTCAACTGTTATTAGACTCTCTTTGTGAAGTAAAACACCTAGAGTCTATAGTTTGTAATTCTCAGCACAAAATTACTGTTGTACTAATAACAAATAAATGGTATGTTGACCATATTTTTAAAGCAGACAAAAAAATTTGAGCATTTTGTATTTAGATGTCTGTCATTGCTGTGTTTCCGTGATTGAGAACTAGACATAAGATTCTACTGTAAAAAGCCCTACAAAGGAGCTGAAATTGGTGGACAGTAACTACTGCCACTTTTTAATACACTAGAGGATTTGGATAGTGATAACATCTCAATTCCTCACAAATACTAGGGACAGAAAATAACCTATAAAGATGAATTACATTCACTGGTTAGAATTTTGTGTGTCATAACACTTCAGTAATTAGTTATAACATCAGAAGTGCTCATTTTAAGAACCTGAGGGGGTTTTAAAATCCACCTACTCTGTATTTATCTGTGCTACTGATTTTAAAAAGCATTTGTCAGTTAGAAGAAAAAGCAAGTGGCCATTGTAAATCCTTGTTCACTTGCTACTTACTGACTGATAAATGCCCTTATTATAAGCTTGGATTTTTTAAAAAAAATTGTGGGTGTTGTTGTTTACCTTTTTTCTTACCTAAATGCTTGCAGTATAACACTTTTGTAATAGATTTAGGTGGAATGGAAAATACCAAACATTTTCATCATGGCATATTCTGTGTTTTAATTAAGAGGTGAGGGACACAGTTTGGACACCCAGATGACTGATTCATGAAATTGCTCCTGTATTTTAAAAAAAAAAATTAAGGTCAAGATAAAGCTGAAGGATGATATAGAGGTAGAGGGCCATTTTTCCTGGAGAGGAACTTTTAAGTGTATATTTTGTGATTGTAGGAAAAAATTTCTGTACCACAAGACAGTTTATTGTATTGTTATAAATATGGAATAAAGCTATGAAATAACAGTTTGTTCTAGTCATAATATGTTTGGTATAAAATGAAGTAATCTTACTAAACTTCTGTTAGTAAACCAAACATTTACAAGTGCGAACTACATACAGAGCCCTGTGCTTTGTTTTGCCAACCTGGGCAGGGAGGTTGGAGCCACATTATGAAAGAATTTGAATTTCAGTCAGGATGTACTATAGGCACTAGAGAATCACAGAAGTTTTTTGAATGGAGTGACATTATTATATCTGTTTTCATGAGATTAGTAAAGAGAAATCTGTGTTTGGGGTGAACTGAAGATACGAAATAAGAACATTCAGAATGTTGTTGCAGTGTGTATGTTGAGAAGAGATAAGGGCCTGAACTAAGGGTAGGTGTGAGAGAGGAGAGGAAGGGGATGGTAAAAATATCATTAGAAATAAAAATTGGCATCTAATTGAATGTGTAGGGTTACGGAGAGGGGGGAAAATTAAGATTGAACCATGTACTATGCTAGCATTGGGATTACAGCTACAAAAGTAGGCATTCCCTCTTGAGTTTGCATTACAGAGTAGGAAATGAAGATGGGTGGAGGAGGACAGTGTGACAGGTATGGATGCTTGATGAGGACTTACCTCAGAGAGCACAGAATCCAATGGCTTAGCTCCTCCCAGGCATGATCTCTTGGGTGCTCTGGTTTGGATGGTGGGGCTACAGAAGGGAGGAAATGCCTGGGGAGCAAGAGGTGGAAAGAGGCTGGGGAAATTAGAAGGGGTAGGTAGAGTTATAGGTGCATGTTGAGTACACATGGTCCTAGGGATCACAGAATCTAGTGATTTAGCTATTCTGAGACATATTCTTTGAACTGTGTAGGTGGTACCATTTTAGAAGTAGGGAAGTTTATTGAGTAAACATTAGGCTCCTACTCTGTCCGCATTGGGCAAAGTTAATGGTAAAGATAGGTATAGAAATGGAGATGAAAAATGAGTAAGGGAATAGAATCATAGAACTTTAGCGACCACCCAGTCTAATCCCCTACATTTTACAGTTAAACAGCCCTAGATGTTAACTGACTTGCCCAAGGTCACAGAAGCTCAAAGGTAGTGGAGAGCCCTCATCAGCATCTACCTGAGACAATTGCACTGATCTCACTTGTTGGATAAGGATATGTTTCTGCATAGTTCTTCACCCTGAGTACTCAGTTTATGTCGAAAACCATTGGAGGTGCTGGAGCTTATGTTTTTTTTTTTTTATCAAAGTAGTCACTGGTGGGAGCATCCTGTTATCCTACCCACTGGAAGTAGAAAACTGACTGGAGTGGTGGCCTGGGCTAGGCCTAAATTATAACTCTTCTTTTGGGGCTGTGGTCTCAGCACGCAGGAACACATTAGCTGTTGCCTCAGATTCCTGTGCTGCTGCAGCATCTTCCACATGTTTCTCAACCATCAATGGTAGGAGGAGAGGATACCTTAGCAATAGTGGGGACTGGGTGCATTTACATTCAGGCCTGGCTGGGGTGTGGTGAGGACAGTATTTTGAGAAAGTGTTGATGCACTGAAAGTCTCTCTTCAATAAACAAACTAAAAAGTCCATGATGAAGGAGCACATTGCCTTATTCTTCAACAGAGGGACTGTCTAACGTGCACTCTCCCATGTTATGTGACAAGATCATCTTGTCACAGGTGTACTTTTGGGCTTCTTGGGGAAGAAAAGGCTCAGTGATGTCCCCTCGCAGATACAGCACCAAGTACAGAGAGAGCTCGTTCTGGATGTTATAGTTGGAGAGAGTACAGCCATCTTCAAGCTCTTTGTCAGAAAAAGATAAGATGCTGATCTGGTGAGAAACCCATCTTGTCCTCAATTTTTTTGGCTTTGACATTCTCGATAGTGTCACTGGGTTTGACTTCAAGAAGGATGGTCTTGCCTATCAGGGTCTTCACGAAGATCTGCATCTCTGTAGTGCTGCACCAGCCACTTGTTGGCCTTGCTGAAAAGAAAGAGGCCTCTAGAAGACTAGTTGTTAATTGTTGAATGTCAGTGTGGCAGGAAGTCTCCAGTGTGGTATCTCAGGGATCTGCGCTTGGCTCTGTGGTATTTTAACAGGTTTATTAATGACTTTAATACACAGATAGTATGCTCATCGAATTTTCAGATGATTCTAACACACCATATGACAGAGTCAAGATCCCAAAAGATCTTGGTAAGTTAGAACATTAAACAAAACCTTAATAAAAATAAATTCAATAGGGATGAATGTAAAAGTCTTACCTTTGAGTTGAAAAAAAAAATCAGCTCCACAAGTTCAGACTGAGGGAGATAAATTAGGCAACAATTTGTCTGAAAAAATATCTGGAGTTTTTAGTGGACTGAAAATTCAACATGAGTCACTAGTGTGTTGTGGCAGCCAAAAAAAGACTAACGTGATCTTGAATTCAGTCATTTTCAGTCATGTCTGATCTTTTGTGACCCCATTTGGGGTTTTCTTGGGAAAGATACTGAAGTAGTTTGACATTTTTTCTCTGGCTTTTACAGATGAGGAAACTGAGGCAAACTGTGTTAAGTGACTTGCCTAGGGTCACCCAGGCTGCATTAAAGGAGGCATAGATTGTGGGAATGACTGGTAATAAAGAGATGATAATGACTCTGTACTGACTTTCCTAGGCATGGTCTGATTTATTGAGTTCAGTTCTGAGTACCAGAGTTTAAGAAGGCTATTTGTAATTGGAGACTGTCTAGAAGAGGGCAACTGGGATAGTGAAGAGCCTTGAGTCTATTTCATGTGAGAAGACACTAAAGGAACTGAAAATGTTTAGCTTGGAGAAGAGAAGACTCACAGGACATAAGAGCTCTGTTCAAGTATTTTAAGGATTGTCGTGTGAAAGAGAGATTAGACTTGTTTTCTTTGGCCCCTGAAAACAGAACCAGGAAAAATGGGTAGAAGTTACAATGAAGAAATTTAGACTTGATATCAGGAAAAGGTTCCTAGCAATTAGATCTGTCAAAGACAAGGGCCACCTCTTCCTCTGAAAATAGAAGAAAGGATTGGCAAGAGTATTGATATTGGAGGAGAGGAGTGGTGAAATTAGTAGGCCTCAGTAAAACAGGAAGTGAGGTAGCACATTGTAGTGGAAAGACCAATATTTTGGAACACAATTTGATTCCCATATTTGCTATTTACCATCTTCATGACCTTGGACAAGTTGCTTAAGACCCAGAATCTGGTGGGTCTCATTTTCCTTCTTTTAAAATGAGCATGTTGTGCATTCATGCAATCTGTCCTTCTTACCTGGACTATACTTGCTTTTCCTCTCTGCCTCTCAGAAACCTAGTCTTTCTTCAAGGCTGCCACTTCCTCTGTGAAACCTTGCTGTATTCCCACTCTCCAAGTTGTTAGAGTTTTGAGTTGGTGAAACCATGAAAAATAGGAGTTAAATGGTCATTAAAGTGGATAGTGAAATATCTGAAGATGATAAAGGAAGATGTGTCAGGGAAGACCATAAATTAGATAGCAAAATTATGGATAGAGAAAGCACTGCCTTGTGGGGATGGTGTCCTAGTATCGTCCTGGAAGAGAACTTGATACTACTCCTCTGGCCCAGTAGGTCTGTTTTTCTGGAGTAAGACCCTGAACTAAAAGATTTTTATGGTTGTACTTTATTCTGAATAGGGGCAGGAGTTCTTGGGATTATTTCTGAACAGCCTAACATCTAGAGTGATTCTGGGAACTATGTATCATTTACTGTTTATAGAGTATCACTTTTCTCCTTTTGCACCAATTGCTTAAAAACAAAGAATATTTGTTTTAAATACAACAGTCGTAATTGACGCAGTGATCTCTGGGTTTGGTTTTTTCCAGATGTGAAATCACTTTTGTATTGTTTCATCATTTCATACTCAGAAACTTGCCTTAACCCTGTTTTGAACTTTATTTTTTATTCAGATGATCAAACTGCATTTGGTTTTTGTTTTAGAAGCTTCGTGACAGCATTTGACCCAACACATTCAAGTTTGGTGATTTACCTGTGCTATTTTGTCATACTTCTCTTCTAGGAGGAAAAAAAGGTTAAGATATCTAATCTAAAAAAATCAAATTTTTAGAAAGAAATTTTCTTTTATCTTTTTAATTTAAAATGTTTTATTTTTTAAATGATCAAGCACTTATTTTTCTTTCTCACCTCTCCTCTTCAAAGAAAAACAAAAGAAAAAAAAAAAGAAAAACAAAACTCTTGTAACAGATATACATAATCAAGCAAAACAAATTCTTGTATTGACCATGTCAAAAACATGTATCTTATTCTGCATATTTGATTCATCATTTCTCTGTCAGGAGGTAGGTAACATTCTGCATCATGGGTACTTTGGAATCATGGTTGATGATTTTACTGATCATAGTTCTTAAGTCATTCAAAGTTGTTCATTTGTACAATGTTGTTATTATATTAACAAAATAACTCATCTGCTTCTGGTCAGTTCACTCTTCATCAGTTTATAGAAGTCTTCCCAGGTTTCTCTGAATCATCTCTTTCATAATGCTTTTTTTTTAATAGCATAATAATATTCCATTATATCCATGTAATGTAATTTGTTTAGCTATTCTCTAACCAATGGACTCTTCCTTAGTTTTAAGTTCTTTGTGACTACAAAAAGAACCACTCTTAGTGTTTTTGTATGTATAAGAAGACCTTTTTCTTATTAAAAAAAATCATTTAGGGTTATAGGCCTGATATAGGTATTGCTGGATCAAAGGATATGTACAATTTAGTAATTTCTGGGGCATAGTTCCAAATTGCAGTCCAGAATGTCTTTACCAGTGCACAGGAGCACCCATAGTCAACAATATTCTTTTTTTCCCAAAGCCCCTCCAACATTTGCCTTATTCCTTTTTTGTCAATTTTGCCGATTTGTTGAGTGTGATATAGAATCTCGTAGTTGCTTTAATTTGCATTTCTCGAAGACCATCATGAATTTTCCAAATGAGGCAGGGGAGGAGGGAAGTTTGAGTTTCAGAAGCATAATAGGAATATTATTTATTCATGAC